ATCTGGAAGACATTGATTGTACTGTCCAAAACAAACCGAATCTTCTCAACCTTCCAGTAAACCAAAGGTTTTGATGCTAAACCGTTATTTAGGTACTTAATAAGATGATGCATCAACAGTATTTTAAAGGACATTTCAGTAAAATTTCTCTGCTCAAACGGCTCTGGTGCTACGCCTCTCTATGTCTGAGATCAACCATAATCCTCAGTGGCGATAGTGAGGAGATAATCTGCTAAATCCCTCAAATCCTAAATTCTGAATAATTCCTGGAAGCGCTGTGAGCGATCGACATATTATTTTCCAACGCCTCAATAAAAATGGGACACACTGACCAATTAGTTCATGAACCCTGAAGTCATCTGTACTTTAATTTTAAAACTGCTCCCGCTTGAATTCAGTAGCGTTTGTCAATAATTGGCAAGAAAAGCCCAGAAAAAGCTCAAACAAATAAAAACATTTTATATTCTCGACCTTTACTCCAGGAACGACGAGTTAAAACTAAAACCAGCAGCTGCTTCTGTTCAGGCTCACAGCAGATTAAAACACAAATACGGGTAGTGACTAGTTACTCAATTACATTTACTTTAGTAACTTTTGTATTTTTACTACACTATACTTTCCACTTTTACTTGAGTAATTTTATCATGAAGTATTTCTACTCTTACTTGAATAAAATTTCTGTTTTAACCAAAACGTCACCAGAAACAGACACACAGCTGCAGTTTTGGCTAAAATTTCATGAGTTTTTTATTTAAAGAAACTAATTTGGAAAAATTTTGTTTTGCCCGATTTTGTTCTTTTTTGTTACTTAATTGGATTATTGTGATTTTCGTCCTTAAAATGCCAAAATTTCCAATTAACTATATATTTTGGTCCGTCTAATTATGTAATTTTTAATTATTGAACGATTGATAATTTGATCAGTTACTCAATACTTTTTTACTCTTACATGAGTATCATTTTCAGCTACTCTACTCAGCTCTGTTAACAAATGAAAGGTTGAACTTTCTGCTCTTGTTTAGAAGCATAATTAAATATTTAATGTTTTCACCGACATGTCGGAGTTTCCCCAGCCATTCTTGGACCAGATTAAATTGGATTCAATTGGAGTTTTGCCCAGGCAGCCATTTAACCCAGCAGTCCACATAGACATCCAGGTCGACGACGCTGAAGGCTTTAACACCGTTTATGTTGCACATGCATCATTAACAGTGATGCTGCTTATAAAATGCATGCATGTGTGTTTTTATTTCTGCAAAGTAAAGAGCAGAGAAGTGGGAATAGACGTAAACAAGCGCTTCCTGTATATATATTTGTGTGTTTTGTATGCAGTTTTCTCCGCTGGGTGAATAATGTTTGTAATCGTCCAGGTGTTGAGTGGGAGCCGTGTTTGCATGCTTACCTGCTTGTGTGCTGTAAGCTGAACTGTTTGTATGTAGATGTTCAGGTCACCGTGCAGCGACAGCTGCCTGCTCATATAAACATGAAAATGAAGTAAATACAGGGAAGTTTGTGCATTCATGCTGTTATATAATTTGTTTTGCTGTCACCGTGTGTCGTATTGAGGACAAGCTTGGGTGTTGGACGACTTGGGGTAAAATAAGGAAACCCTGGTCTGGTTATGGATGGATTTGATGGGTTTTGAGGTTTTGACTCTTAGCTGTAACAGATATCGCTCAGATTAAAGATCCAATCAATGAATTATGAAGTGAATGTCCTGAGAAAAACATTGTTTGTTTGTTTGTTTGTTTGTCCCCCTGAATGAGCTCGGTGTGTACTGAGTCGTAACGCTCATATCTCAGCAGAAACGGCGTTTTAGTCATGCTCGTTTTCAGGCGTCTTTGTTCACTTCCTGTCTCTCAATATCTGCTTTATGTTTTACTAAAAATATTATTTAAAAACAATAAAGTTCAGTTTGTATCTCTCCTGTTTTCTTCAAATCATACTTCTGGATAATTGCTCATAAATCTTCATCAGTGTGTATTCTAGACACATTTCCCTGGTAGAGAAGAAAATATTGGAAACAGTATGAAATCAAAAATGCACAGTAACCTATAATTAAGTGTCCTAAAAAGTGCCATTTAAGTTTGATATATTTTTATTATGCAATGCATCCAGTTAATGCAATAAAATCAACTTTTGATCAAATTACTTCAACAGCAGCATAACCTACACAGGAAATGAAGCTAAAGTGAAAACTTTGGATTTATGAATTTTAGACGTACCTGATTTATCAATTAAATCACATTCAGTAAATGCAACTATTTTCCCCCCAATGTTGGATTAATGTGTCTCTAGTGAAAAATGTAAAGCTGAGATAATTAAATGCATCAGTTTTTATAAAAGATTTCAAGACGATTTCATCCTCCACATACTTTAGTAGCTCAGGCTAACTAGCTAATTAAGCTAGCAAGAAACTAAAGTCAAAACTTTGATTAGCACAAAAAAGCCACAGGTTTATCATAGAATGTATTTATTGTTGTTTAAATATATGGTTTTGTTTACAAAGAAAGGCTAGTGCTTCTTTGTAATGAATGTGGAATAGTGCTGTTTGCTAGCTGAAGCTAACTGCCGAATTAAGCTTGCATTAGCTTAAAGTCAAAAGTAATCAGTGACAGCTTTTTAGCTACATGTTTTATTTCAGAAAAGGGTTTTTTTATCATTCAAATAATCAGCAGAACCGAGCCACAAAACATTCAGAGATTTCCAAACAAACTTTAACAAACTGTAATAGATTTGGACTTTAAAAATCAGGAGAACAGAATGAGAGTTGGTCGACTCCTAGAAAAACCTGACTTCAGAAAGATTCAAATAGTTAACAGGACCCAGTCGGTGTTTCTCGTGTTTCTTACTTTATATTCCACTTTTCAGAAACGCCATAAACCAATTTTCAAGTTTTGCACCAAGACTTTCTCACCAGACTCAATCAGTTTAATCCTTTTCAAACTGCAACATAATTTATCACAGGAAGCTATAAACAAAAACCAGTCCAGTGCTAATCTAATTACATCCAGTCTCCAGAATGCAATCAATTCTGAATACAAAAGTGAAAAATCTGATTCCATAATTTTTAAATTGACATTTAGTAAAAGCTATTTCTCCACTGAAGTCAGTAAGTGGATTTCATTAAATATTCATTTTTTCATTTTGATTCTTCCTTCAAACTTTTTTTTTCCTGTCTGCAGAATAATAAAATTATGAAGTCACTCAATATTAATTGTAAAGCAACTAAATATTGCATTTATAAACTCTTATACCAAACTTTTGCTAAGCACCGATAGATTTTTTCCATACAAAATGTACGAGTCATCACATCGTATGATGAGGTATAGAGTTTCACTAGATTTATTACCGTTTATTTTTATTATGATTCATAATTACAGCTGCAGCTAATAAAAAACAACAGTTATGGTTCTGAGAGAGTTAGAACGTTACATATGACAAATGAAGGGATTCTTAAAACAGACCAATATGCAGTAAATATTTAATAGATTTTTTTTCAGTAAAAAAATCTCTGGATGTATTTTATTTTACCTTTGTTAAAACTTGGTTATAAAAAGGCAAATGCTTTGTAAGAAAATTATGTTGGTAATAATTTTACCCTGTTTACAAATTAAATCTCTTTAAATGCATTCATGGGTCAAATTTGTATCATTTTTTAAGTGCAGTTGGGGGCCGCAAAAAAATCAGTCCAAAGGCCACAACTGGCCCCCAGGCCACACTTTGGACACCCCTTTTTTACATCAACTACGAGATATTTGTAGTCTTTTATTTAAAGTATTCAGAAGTTTTCCCAGCTTCGTTGAGATGGTTTTTTCGTCTCTAGACTCTTTTCCCTGTCCCAACCAAAGCCTCTTTAGGGCTTTAGATTGAAGATGTCAGGAAACTGTCTGGTGGAGGGAAACAGACAGAAATGACCCTGCAGGATCTAAAAAGTGAAAAAAAGATGTCAAATATATTCATTTTAAACAAATGAATAATGAATTGTAACAGCTCTTAAATTATTTTCTATTCTGATGTAAGAGTCCTTTCACTGTGAGCATAAAGATTTTGGACTGTCGCAAAATGCAAAACATTGATTAATTGCATGATTAAAATGAGCTTAATGATTTCCATCATTTTGATCATTAATCATTTTTGAAGACCCATTTTGTTTACAGAAACATCATAATCCATTTTATTTATGGTTTTGATTGTGTGTGGGTTTTTATTTACATTTTATTTGTTGTTTTTTGTGTTTTATGTTGGAATGTCTTCCAGCTCCACTGTGTAGAGAGAAAACTTGCATCGTTATGCCTTTAGCAATAGATTATATGAAAATGGTCTCAAAATACAACAATATTATCGTTTATTGCAATAACTTCTGGGGCAATTTATCATCCAGCAAAATTTGTTACAGTGGCAGATTTAGTTGTGGCTTTTTCACTTTGTTGGCCCTTCAGGGCTTCCGTAAAACCAAACATTTGGGGTTTTTCTTCATCCATATTTCAGTAAAGATCCCATTTACGTCTCACCAGCTGGGATATTGCTGCCGCTGTGGTTGGAGCCACTTTTTTGCTCATCTTCACAGCTCTCTCTTTTTTCCCCACTCTACTTGTTAAGGTTGGGTTTCTGCACACGTTTTTCCCAAAGTTCTTTGCGCTGCGTTTTAGTCTTGGCCTCAGGGTGACTCTAATTGAAAGCACATCACAATGGCTGCTGAGCTGAGCATCGCCATGCACCACAGCTTCAGAAAATAATCTTTCAGGACCCGGGAGTCAGATATTAGCATACTCAGTACACAGTATCGAACTGTCAACATGAACCTGAGCCTTCAGTCTTTTCTGTAAAGCGACCTAATGGCTGCTAAACTAGAGAAAATTAGATTATATTCTTAATTATTACTTAAAGTTGTGTGATCTGAAGAGACCTCTGGCTGCTTCTTAACTTCTTCTAATGATGCTGAGGGTATAAATAACATGCATTCACTGAACGTGCTTTTTCTGTCCTCTCATTAACAGGAAGGTCATTGAGGTGAAAATTATTGACGATGAAGAGTATGAGAAGAACAAAACCTTCACCATTGAGCTTGGAGAGCCGGTTCTGCTGGAGATAGGACAGAAACATGGTGGGTCTTCTTCTCTGCCTGCTTTATACTGAAATAATAAAAGTGTTTTTTAAGCATAGAGCAAATTTATCACTTAGAAACCCAGTCCTTTATTGATTATCTGAACTCTGATTAATTTTGGAAACTGTTTTAACGCATGGCAGAGATGGATTGGACAAGATTTAACAACATTTTTAAATAAAGAGGGGAATTCACAAACTAATGCAATCTCCTCAAATTTAATCTCCTCCAATTTAATTGTTTTAGTGTCCAATTGTGTTTTTTCCTGCACTGGATTCACAAAGCAAATATCACTAAATATACACAGACTCAAACATCCTGACCAAGTCAACCACATGCAGGCAGTTTTAATTTGTGAAAGACAGAAAATAATTATTTTTCACTTTAATTAATTTATCTACAGATGAGAAACAAGTTAAAAATGTTGGTAACACTTTATTTGAAGGGGGTTGAATAAGACTGTCATGACACTTTCATTAACATAACAGCTGTCATGAACATGAATAAGCCTTCATGAATATTTATGGCTGTTGTCATAAAGTGTCATTCAGTAAATTATGACACTTTTAATACAAAGTTGACATTATTCAAAATGTCTTTATGACAACTTGACATTAACCAAGAAATCATTACTGTTTAAACTTTACCTTTAATAACATAAAGTTACCTAATTTTTAAAGTGCAATCAGTAATACTTTTATAACAAATTTATAACAGTAATGATTTCACCCCCTTCAAATAAAGTGTTACCAAAATGTTAGATGTGTACCGATGAACCTTTATTAGTTTCAAAGCTTGTAATTTCAAAATACAACCATTAGCAAATATTGAACATACTTTTTCACTAAGCCTATATTTCTGTAATAATTTTTATTTTTATTTAGTCTGATGCAACTAAATCAAGTCTAAATGATTAATTTAAATGCATCATTGTAGATCTGCCGTCTAGTTTATGTTACGTGTACCCACATTCAGCTAATTGCTCCTTGGAGGTTTTCATAAAACCTCTAGACCTGATTGTGAAAAGAAGGCTGCTTCCTAAAATGTACTTTTATTTACCTTGTAAGAGTTTATTACGGTACAGTAATATCACTGACAAAACTCAATCAGCTTTCATAAAACATGTTTTTGGCCATAAAACATCACTTTAAGCTAATGCTACACATGCTGCAGATGTAGGGAAGTTAAATTACTGATATAAAATTAATCACTCATTTAGCTCAGACACAAGAAAAGCTGATTTTGATGCTAATTATTGTGGGTAAACATGCAGCAGCAAAAGATTGAACTAATTGACGTGTTTAATCACAATCAGCAGATATTTTTGCGCTGACAGAGGGGAATGTAGAAAGTGCAAATAATAATCATAAAAACATTTTCTTACCAGAGAAACCTGATGCTGAACACATACCCAAGATGCTCACTCCATCATATTTCTATGTTTCCAGTAAGAACCACACATTATTTCAAAATATTAATGTTAGAAAGGTGTCGTTTTGCTTCTGTTGGTCCAAACAGCACATTGTTAAAGTTTTATTTAATTAAGCTGCTTTGAGAAACAATAAGAAGTTAGATTATGACACATTAAGATTATTTTTAACTTTCTGGCTCTAAAATGAGTGGAAATGTAGTTTTTATGCTCTGCACTTGGCACCATTATATCTTTAAAATATTTCCAGTTGAGTTTTACACGTAGCATCAATTAAGCTTACCACAGAGTGAGCATGGCGGTAGAGTCTTCCTCTGGTGGATTACAGGTTCACAGTCAAGATGTTGGACAAGAAGGAGCAACAGCCTGGGGCGCGTTTCATTACAGGGGAATATAATTAGCTTTACAACACGGTTAAAGAACACGCAGTCTGACATTTAAACACGCCACACGCTTACTGTAACACATGCTCCGCTTTCCAATTAGAGCAGGAAGACACAGATAGCAGCTCCGGCAGCGATTGTGCAGCCTGAGCGAGGACACGGGCGTCGTGAAGGAGTCGAGCGGCTAACGATGCGACAGGTGGTAACGAGGTGATAGGAAGGTTGGAGAGTGCTGAAAGTGTGCGTCCATTTGTTTCTGAAGTGAAAAGCCTTCCTGAACAACCTGGGTTCCCAATGAGGGATATGACAGCCAATAATAAAACTCATCTTCCCTCTGCAGACTTCATGCTTTTCAGTGATAATTCCCACTGCAGCGAATAAATTAAGGATGGTGAAAAGGCTGAATAATACATGAAACGTCTTCAGCTGCTGCGTAAAATCGGACAAATCGCAAGAATATTTGACAAGACAGCAAAGCAGAGCTTGACAGTTTAATGCCAATCAGTAGCTTGACTAACTTGCTGGTTTTTGGAAATAGTTTCTCAGTTGTCTAGGATATTTTTTGCCCAGTAATGAAATGTGCAGAAAGGAAACTAATAACAGAGAAAGACACCTTGTGGTATCATGAGGTTTGCATGATTTAGGACAGGGGTTCCCACACAGCATAAGCTTCTGGTCAGAGAAAAACACCTTTTGCAAAAAACCCAACACTATGTGACAAAATATGTAAAGAAACATTGACTCAAGGGGAAAAGAAATTCAATAATTTTAATTCATTAATTTAGCGTAAATGATGCCTCATACTGTCTGATTTTAATTTCCTGTGAATTTTTAAAGGTTTTTTTTTGCTGTTTTTTGGAGTTGTGTCCTCCACAGCAGGGCTACTGAACCGTTCCTTCGGTCGTTTTCTTGTCAAAAATGTTTTCAGGTTCAGGTTTACTTAAGTCACAGCATGCATATATGTGTAAGAGTTTTATTTTAACAATATTATAAATGTGAAGTTTGTCAAAATTTTATTCTTTCAATTTATTTTGTTTAGTCAAGTTTTTTCTTGTTGACTAAAGAAAAAACTTTAGTCAACAACAAAACGCCAATAAATAAGACATTTAGTGGTGTATTAAGCGCTGTAACTGCTCCTGGCAGTTCGTGGTTACCATAGCAACCAGTAACTGACAGCTCCTCCCCCTTTTTTCTGTTGCCGTTGGTAACAGAAGCTTCTGGACTAAAGTTGACCACCAACTTGATTTCTTCTTTTCTTAGAATAAGTACAGTGAACCTGAGTGAGTCTGTCGTGAAGCAGTCGACCTGAGACGAACATAGAAGGGCCACATCTGTATAAAAAAAGACATCAAGTCTAAGAAACGTTTAAAAAAAGAGGGAGACAACACAATATGCCAGAACAACATCAAATATAAGTCCATTCATGATAGGAAGAGTTCCTGCACTGTATTACTACCAACATCTGTAACATATGGATTAATAAAATTAGAAATCTGCCAATTATCCCCAACAATCAGATGTGAATCCATCTACCTTGTCCTGGATTAAAAGGAGAAATCACGGCATCTTCCATTTCATGCTAACTAGTGATGCTAGCTTGAGGTACAAAGCATCTTCATAAATTTGACTGGCAGCCAATCAGAGAGATGAGCATGGCAAATAAACTACTTTAACTTATATTTTATCATAAAGACTGAAAAACATTACATTTTATAATGAAATATAATTAAAACAATTATGTTTTGACTGCTGCTGACCTATGACCCCGCTGTTCACCCAGGTGACTCCAACGAGAACAAACCGCTGGTGGGAGCGGAGGAGGAAGAGGTGGCCAAGATGGGCTGCCCCAGTCTGGGTGAACACACCCAACTGGAGGTGATCATCGAGGAGTCCTACGAGTTTAAGGTGAGTGTGCGCTGGGATTAGCCTTTATAGCCAAAATATGCAGGACAGTGTAAAAGTATTCATGCTGCTTCGACTTAATGTGACTTAACAACACAAAGTCCTGCAACATGGTGAAGTGGAAGAGGAGAGAGTGAGCATCCAGTTGCTCTGTGAAGACTTCAGCGGTTTGTCAGGATATTAGAGAATAAGGAAGAGCAATATTTATATTGTGTAACATAAAACAATATATCAATATTTTAGCATCTGTTTAAGCCATTATTTTTGATCATTTAAACTGCAAAACGGTCATTCAGATCAGGGCTGAAATGATTAAACGCATTACCGTATTGTACGCACTATAAGGCACACTGTTAACAAACGGTCTATTTTAGATATTTTTTCATATATAAAATTAACCGAAACAGCCATAAGTCATTCAAAGAACAGTACGTATTTCTCAACGACGCTCCTGACTACAGTAGCCGTAATGTAGCTAAGACATTTTGACAGAGCGCTGTGAGCGTCGCGTACCACACAAAATCACTTTGAGGTCAGTAAGCACAACCTGAATGATTCCTTATTGATTCACTAGACGGCGCTGTTTTACTCCAAAAGAAAATACAAGGCGCTCCGTCGTTTGTTGATCAAATTAAACGCTTTTAAGTCCGGATGATTTCTCAGTTACTGTAATAATTGTACATTAAATTAATCATTAACTGGAGTATACATACTCTAAAAAGGTGATTTTGTGAAAGAACAATTCATTCAGAGCAGTAATTAAGCAAAAATGGTACAAAAATATAAACATAAGATTTATAAAGAACACTTTGTAAATATGTTCTACCTAGAACTCATCAAGTTGCAGTTTTAGCTTCACCTGGTTCAAATTCTTAAAAAATAAAATGTATTAAGCACCTTTTTCTATCCAATTATTGATTGGTAATCCAAAAAACAAAAAAAAAGTCAACATTTATCATTTGCTACAAATGAGCAAGTGTTTACTAAAGCAATGCTCCATTTTAGGCAATGTCTTAATTAAAAAGATGACTTGTGTGTTTTAATGCATTTCTAATATAGGAAGGGCATACATGAAAAATCTGAAATGTGCAAATTGAAATGAACTAAAAGGAGTGTGAACAAACCTTTTAGTGTCTCTAAGTGCAAAGAAGTTGGAGACAAACTGAGTTTTAGGTGCAGTGAAAACTCCAACTCAGGGAGGATGAATACAAAACCACTTCATCTTCAGATTATTTATCCAAATAGATTGAAAAACTGGTTTTATTTTCCTTCCAATTCAGAAATATGCACCACTTTGTGTTGCTCTGTGACATGAAATCCCAATTAAAAACATTAGATTGTGTGAAAATGTGCTAAAATTATACGGTGTGAATACTTTTTCAAAGACTGTAGATAGATGATAGTAAAAGATTTGATTGTCAATCTCATAAATCTCGGCTTGTTGGCATGTAATGGACCATGCAAAGTAATCCTCTCTCCTGAGATGTTATTAGATCAGACTTCCAAAAGGCTTAAAAACCTTATTAATCTTTTTTTTCTGCAAGATATCAGACTCTGAAAAGTTGCTGGTCGCTCACTGATCCAGGACATAAAAACCTGCCAGCTTTCCGCTCAGTTTCATACATATTTCACCTTTCTGGATGTAATTAGTTCAGAGACGGCCCAATGGTTAAATAATCAAAGCATGGATCATTACAAGTGGCATTTCTTGCAAGCAGCTCATTGTCACCGTTTTTCACTGTGTTGCTCCGTTTTCCACCATTTTGTTTGATTCTGATGTGACTAATCATTTGTGTACTTTCGTTCACTCATTTATTGTGCCTCATTTGTCCATTTCTGTTGTGTGTGTGTGTGTGTGCGTGTGTGTGTTTATGCATGTGTAGAAAGCAGTAAATACTCTTCTTACTGATAAGGTACCTCTCTCACGTGCATGCAGTGCTCGTTCTTCACTTGCTTGTTGTCTTTCATATTTTCCCTACAAAACACAAAGTGATTAATTTCAGATTTTTCTTACTTGTATCAACAAACATGTTTTACTTTCAATGCTCCCTTAAACACATGCAGTAAATCCTGCAGGATTTGACTGAATCAGGATATTTTACTTTCCCATTTTCCCAGCTGCTGTTATCTTTCAGCCCAGAAGAAAAGCCTAGCGGCATGTTTCTCGATTTCTAAAACATGGCATGTGTTAATTAACACATCTTGCACCTCAACATCTCATCAGTGTCTAAATATACTTCTGCCACTTGGGTTGTGAATTTCAGGACTTGAAAACAATATTTTTCTCTTTGTGTGTGGCTGCGGGTGAATCAACAACTTGGGGTTGTGTCTTTCTTGCTCCATTTGGTGTGTGTGCTCTTGCATGTGTGCTCCTGTGTGTGTGGATGCAGAACACAGTAGATAAGTTGATCAAGAAGACGAACCTGGCCCTGGTGGTGGGAAGCAGCAGCTGGAGGGAGCAGTTTGTCAGCGCCGTTACTGTAAGCGCAGGTAATACTCACCGACTACAGACACATTCAGTTAATTACTACGCAAAAGCCCATTTATTTTAGGAAGTTTATCACCAAGTGAAACACATAATATAAACACTTTTGGATTAACTTCTAAGATTTTGTCCTTATTACATTTTCTGGTCCAGTTTCATTCAGATTGAGTAGCTGGTTTTCCTCTAAACATTTAGTGGTAGCCTCAACCGCCTCCAGACTTTTGTAAAGTATCTACAAGATTAAACTCGATTAAATAGTCCGGACACGACAAAATTTAAGACCAGTGTTTAAGGCAAACATATTTTATTTGATAAATGTTAGTTATTTTATTGCCTTAATTTCAGGTAGATGAATTTAGAGAAATAATGACTGCAAGGAAACTGTGGTGTGCTTCCTCAGATTTAGATGAGTTGGATAATAATCCTCTTTTGCTACTGCTGTATCTGCTAAAGTAGGCCAGATTATGCTACTGTATGCTAGCTTATTTTAGCTCGTTGGAGCTAGTGTTGCTGCTAAAACTTCAAGGTCAAAATGAACCAGTTAATTATACCTGAACTCTAAATAAGAGCACCAGGTGGTGGCATAGTTAGGATCGAATAAGGAAATGCAAGTCTAACTGGGCTACCAACTACAGCTGGAGTATTGGTATTACAGTAAACTAAACTAAGCTAATTTCAAAAACTGAAATAATATGGTCAGTGTTACTGAGTAACCTACAGTTAAAAAGGTTTATTGGCTGTAATTTCACTGTTATAGGAATTTTAGTTCATGTCTGACTTGTATTTAATCTCCTGCTTCCCCTGAAGGAGATGATGACGAGGAGGAGAGTGGCGAAGAGCGGCTACCCTCCTGCTTCGACTACATCATGCACTTCCTCACCGTGTTCTGGAAGGTTCTGTTTGCCTTTGTCCCACCCACGGAGTACTGGAACGGCTGGGCCTGCTTCTTCGTCTCCATTTCACTGATCGGCGTCCTCACTGCCGTCACCGGGGATCTGGCATCGCACTTCGGCTGCACGGTAGGACTGAAGGACTCCGTGACGGCCGTGGTGTTCGTGGCTTTGGGGACATCGGTACCAGGTGAGGCAGAATGGCATCGCTGTTTTCATTCAGTGTTTGGAACCTCCTACATTTTTGTTTTAGTGGTATTAATTAATGAATAACCCTAGTTATTCTCAAAGTTCTGTCTTCCTTAACTTAGTATTTATGCAAAGATCCTTTGGTGCTAGAAGTGCAGACAAAGAAAAATTAATTTGAAACTTTCCAAATCTAAATGTTTATTTCTTTTATGGTGTTTTCACACCTGAGCGACTCAATTCTATTGGGGACCAAAGTTGCAACTCTACAGTGTGCCAAACAATCCAAACCCTGTAAATCAATAGTTCCCCTCCTCGCCTGTAGAGGCGCTGCAACAAGAGCCACCAAAGAAAACTACACAAAAACCTCAGAAGAAGACAACTTAATTCTTCAAAAGCATAAACAAAAATGCAGTACCACCAGATTTTAGTGGTTGTAGGATTTTCCTTCTGTCTTTGGCAAAAGTCCACAAGTCATTTCTGCTGCTAGCGCTAGACTCTTGCATTTGTTTCAGCTGTATTTACCCAGAATACCCTGCACTATAGTCCGCTTCCTGCTTTTGGAGTGTTTGGTCCGCTTAACGTTCACATATATATTCAAGCCGCACCAAAGTTCACTTCAACCAAACAGAGACCTTTTAGGAGGAACAGAGTTCAATTACGCATTTCCACCTCCCCAAATGAACCGGACTTTCTAGACAAACTAAACAAGGTTGGTGTGAATGCAGCCTTATCATCTCAAATAAAGAGAATAAGTAAATTCAGTAAAATACAGAAGAACTGGACCAGCTGTACCTTCTACGTATGAAAGAAAACAACTTCCAACCACATTCTTGCATTGATCCGTTGAGTCTGTAACCTCATAAAATGACTTTATGGCGTTAAGGAAGGAATTATTTTAGATTAAGTCAACAAAAGAACATATCTCAATGGCAGCATCAGAACCGTTGATAATCGACAACTAAGTCCAAAATTATTCAAACCTGACAATTCACTAAGATAATAATCTATTGTTACTTCAGACTGGCTGTGGTGCCCCGAAATGTTACTACTTTAAGGGTATTTAGTTAATAGAGACTATAAATATAACATAGTACTTAGAGAAACAGGAGGTGTAACACAGGAATAAAGGTAAAAATGGATTTTTGTGACATTTTGTTCAGTGTTTCTCCTTCTCACTCAGCATTGTTGCTCTGTTTAAACAGACACCTCTGAGTTCTGCGTTTCTTCCAAAGTTTACCTGAGACAGACGCGCCAAATGAAAGAAGTGCCCGTCGTTCCAGCTGCCCGAACAGGGAGGCTGAAAATCCAATCTGAGTTGTAAAAAGCAGACTCCATCTCAGCCTTCAGCCTGAGCCAGTCTCCACCCGGAGGGGACGGCTCGTCCCCAGGCTTTAATTCAATTCCCTACCTCATTGCTCTCGCCAGCGAGTTTATTGTTGCTGCGCCGTATGAGTTATAGAAATAGCTCAAGCGGTGCTCTTCCAGGTGGCAGCTTTGATGGCGTGCAAGGGAGGTTTCTGAGAAGTCATATCCAAGTGAGCCGCTTCGACAGCCGTGCTGGGACTGGAGACGTAAACACGGATTTGCATCTTTTCTCGCAAAAAAATAAAATAAACCAGTAATGGTGATTAATTTACCCTCTAAATCTTCTTTTTTCTGCTTTGTCTTACATGCAGGATCGCTCTTGCATATTCGGTCTTTCCTTAGCTTCTGTTCTTGCCCTGATGCCCCATCTGGAGCAGTTTGTTATTGTGACATGCTTTCTCCTGTCTCCTTCCTTTCCCTTTATTGGGTGTTGTGTATCTGCTATTGGTTCATCCATCATTTTGACCTGTGGGCTGCAGAACTCTGCTTGAAAAAGGTGATTATAGCTTCCAGTGGGAGAGTTTGCTGCCGTGCTCAGGGTTGTAATCTTCCTCAACACTCAAGCTCTCAACGTTTTTAGCCCTGAACTCTTCATAAGGCATTATTGCCCTGGATCATTATTATGCTCAGCAATTATGAGGAACATTTACTGTAAATTTGCCAGTTCAGGGAATGATGGAGCAGTTTTGGACCAGAACGTGGTTGGAGAGCGTTATTGTGCTCATTTGTAACCATTTGAGTTGTTCGGTACAGGAGCACCAGCACTTTAAAACTGGACCGTTTAGTTCTTATTGGAAAAAAGATAAATAAATAAGAGAATAAGAGATTCCTGGTGCTGGGAATTCTGAATTGATTCAGAAATTGATTTTAATCTGCTCAGTTTTTTTTTGCAAATGTATATTTTGAATTATTCTTTAATATTTTTCTAATTAAGAAAAAGCAACTAAGCTAATGTAATAGTGGTAATTTAAGCTGCTGAATTTTAAGCATAAGCCTAATTATACCACATTTTAACTATAAACTGATTACATTTGATAAAGTATGGAACATTGTAGAATAGATTTAAATATTGTTGTCAATTACATAATTTGTATAGTTTAAACAGAAAAAAAATTGTTTCTAAATCGAACCGTGACCCTAAAAATCAGAATCAGATTACTACAAAAAAAGATTTGTATTTCTATTTAAATTACTTTTGTGATCAAAGTAATAATGATTGATTCTTCTGACAATTAATTGAGTAGTCAGATAAAATAAATGTGCATTCTGCAGATTTTTCAATCGACTACTTGGTAAAAATAAAAACAGAAAAGTGGAATTTGGGAGAAAATAAAACAGACTTTTGGAAGTAATAAAATGGATAAAGTTAAACTAAATTACCTTTCAAGAGATAAAAACGTTGCATATCAATATGTAAACTAAGCATTTAAACGGATGCCCACATTAGTTCATAATTCACTTTGTGAAAATTATTTATCCAGGACGAGATTTAATGACATGATAATTTGGTGTTGCTGGAGTTCAGTTCGTATTTCAAACAGAAAAATTAATTACGACACCATTACTATGTTGATTCATCGTCTACCAAACGCAGCAGCAGCTTTCACTGAGATAAATGATTTTTAATGTGCGAGAGCCTGGAAGCCATCATTATCCGACTGAGGTGAGCGATTCCTCTTCTTCGATAAGGTCTGAGCGAACTCCGTCTGTTTTGGGGCCGGTTTCGCTCTGCAGTTTAAACTTCTCCCACCCGAGCGTCAAAGCACACAGAGATTTCACCAAAAGGATTACAATTCACTCTCTCTGGAGGGTGGTTTTCATGTTGGGATATGAATTTCAATTAATCTCAGTGACATTTAAATGAGAAGCGAGACTCATGGCAGCAGCCAGACTCTAAATGGGAATAAGCCGATGCGGTCCTGCAGTGACTGGCAGCCGTTTCCCTGGTGCTTCCTGACAGCCGGGCTGCAGGCTCTCAGCTTTTGACACAATTTCAATCCGATGGAAAAGCTTTCTCCTAGCCACCTACACCCCTTTCAAAGAATGTGTTACTTTGTTTTTGCACAGGATGGCATCGGAATACAAATATGGATTGCAGTAAAGATTACTCGGCACATTTTAACCAAAGAACCAGAAACCCAAAAGTGATTCCTTGGTAATTTGGGACACTTGAGACAAGAGATGAGTCAAAGATTATTCATGCCAAGTTTAAAGTACCCCGTTAGATTTGACTAACAACCAGAAGTAAGAAGTCCAGACAGAGTTTGATCTGAATCTGATGGAGAATATCAGATTAGGGTGATCCAACAGAGTCCAAACAGTGAGTGAAGGAAGACACATCGGACAGCAGTACAGCAGACTCTGATGGCAGCAGTGGTTTGGGTTTGCTTGATACCAAGTGGTTGACGTCGGCTCATAATTTGTGGATAGTTATTGCAAAATAAAAGCACCTGATTTCAATAAACTTGATCTAGGGTTGGTAATTCTGTCTTATGGATCTTCAAACCATTCACTCTGTGCTTAGTGGACTGATACCATTTCAATCATAGGACGCCATCTTAAACATATCCAGCAATAGATGCATCATATGTACTAAGTTATGTAAAATATGACTTTCTAGATGTTTAAATCGATGTTTTCTGACGATATAAAATCCAATTTGCAGATGAAAACCAAGTACTCATCAATAAGAGTATAGTTTTGGCTGCAAGATCAACCCTCAGGATCAAATTATGTTTTCTGATTGGAGAGCTACTTCATGTAATTACAACTCTTTGACAAATCTCTTTTTCTCCTTCAGCTCTAATGGGCTCACTTGTTAAATTAATAGTCCGAAACATGCGGAGACATTTATGGTTATGCAAATGTAATCCTACAAAAACTGCAGGGTCACTGCATCACTCTGCTGTTTGAGTGGTTGCACAACATACAGTCCTCAAAGCACCCCTCACTCTTTGTCCTAAACAAACTGCTCAAGAGTCAACATAGTTGAGTTTATTGAGATTTATTTTTAGCATAAACTCGCCTCAACTTAGTTCGCATTCAATAGATCTACTGGTTGGAACCTTGGTGCTCTACATACTTTTTTTTTTTTACCTTCATAAATGTTTTCAACTTCATAAATGTTTTTATGAAGGTAAAAATAATGTATTTAACTTACTTGAAAATGGTTTCAGAACAACAATATTATCGTTTATCACAATAATTTCTGGGACAATTTATCGTCTAGTAAAATTTGTAATCGTGGCAGGCCGAATCCTGACACTGAACGTTTGGTCTATACTGGTGGTTTAATTTATATTTTTCCATTCTTGTTTGCATTTTACATCTTCAAATAATTTTCTATAGACCACCGACTTAAGTATCGATTTTTTTTTATTTTTTTTTTGCTGTTTTCTCAGATACTTTTGCCAGTAAGGTTGCAGCCATCCAGGACCAGTACGCCGACGCCTCCATCGGCAACGTGACTGGCTCCAACGCCGTCAACGTCTTCCTGGGTATCGGTGTGGCGTGGACCATTGCCGCCATCGCCTGGCGCTCTAAGGGCAAGCCTTTCAGGGTGGACCCAGGAAACCTGGCCTTCTCCGTCACCCTCTTCACCATCCTGGCCGTGGTGTGCGTGTTGACGCTTCTCTACCGCCGGCGACCCACGGTGGCCGGAGGCGAGCTGGGCGGGCCGCGGACTTGCAAGTTGATAACGTCGCTGCTGTTCGTCTCTCTGTGGCTAATTTACATCCTGCTGGCTTCGATGGAGGCCTACTGCCATATACAAGTGTTTTAGAAAGAGACCTGACTGGTGCGGAGGAGGTGGGAAACCTTAAGACTTTATCTGAAAATGGATTTCATGTCACTCAATTATGTTTTTTCCCTAAATAGAATGAGTGTTCACCCTCGTGAGAACCAACAGCTCCCCCAACAATGTTGAGACTAATTATTTTCATCTTTGAAAGAAGCTCTTTGAACCATAAAGGCCCTCCAGTGTATCAAGGAAAACCTTGAAACGGTGTTATCATCAGAGGACTGTTGTTGTTTCACTATAAAGCCAAACCAGCTGCAGAGAAGATAATCAGCTGAGCTTTGAAGAAAGAAGCAGAGCTGAGAGGAAGGACGAAGGTCAGCGATAAAGCTACAAAAGTCAACAACAAAACCAGAGAGAAGAGCGCGTCGTGCAGCAGCCGAATGAAAAATGATGGAGAAAAAGGTCAGAGATAAACTGAGCTGCAGGAAACCCCGACAGCCTTTCCTCTGTCATTACACCTCCATGGAAAATGAATACCCACTGAAATTATTTTTACATTTTCTCACATTACAAGCTCAAACTTTAACACTTTTTATTTTGATTATATGTGATACACCCACTCAAAATTAAGTTTTATATAGAAGTTAAATCACACTAGTACTCCAGTCACTGATTGAGTAAGTTCTGACGTATTTATTTATTTACAGGGTATTCGAGTAAATGGGGTAATGTGCATTGCATGCTTTTCAGATTTAAGTGTGCAACAGATTTGAAATCCATGTATTCTTCTAGTTCATCTTTTCTATTATTTTGTAAGATCCCACTGAAGTTTACAGTTGTAGTGCGACAAAATGTAAAAAAGTTCAGGAGGTATGAATACGTTTGAAAGGCTCTGTGCTACAGAGGAACAGTGGATCATCACCCTTGACTTCTAACTTTTATCGCCTTTTTCCTCTCAATACACTCAAAATGATGGGGCCCTCAGGAGAACCTGCACAAAAACCTGCCGGCGAGACGATAAATTAACACTCTTCTTCCTCTTATTTAAGGATACACTGTGCAAAAATAGTCTCATTATACAAACCCTCCTGTCCTGATCGTCCCCCTGCCTGCCTTATGTTCCCCATCCTCGCCTTACGTGTCCAAAAAGAAAACTCGACGTTGTGACAAGTCGCCACCATCAAACCCGCTTTTTAAACTCTTCCCATGTCCCCTTTTCCTCATCCCAAAACACATTTTCTACTCTTTTCAATGGCGTCACGTGTTGATGTTGTTATCGTGGAATTGTAAAAACAACAACAACAAATATACAAAAACAGAACGACAGAAGAAAGATGTCAAGAAACGCAGAGTGGAATAAAAGCCGAGCTGATGAGGATGTAAAAAAGTACTGAGCGCTACACATTGTTACATAAAATGTTTACACTTTGAAAAACAACAAATCGAACTATAGCCAATAGGGGACTTCCGTACACCAGAAGGACCAATCAGAATGAAGGATCGTACAGACTGTGATCGTGACGACAACTGTGAGGGAAACGGTGTAGAAAAATCCAAACTACGACCATAACCAGTGTTTCTATTTGTACATGATATTATCAGAAACCTGTATTGATGTGTGTGGGACATGACTGGTATTTCATTTATGTGAAGCCTCCATCTTTGTGGGAACAAGTTTGAGAGAGTTAAAGGGAAAAATACAAGGCAGCTGAAGAATCACGTGTCTGTTCTGCATATCGGAGCGTTTCTTTGTACCAAACTATAACAAATTGTCACAAATCACTAACACACCCTTTTTAAACTGTGCAGATTTACTTTTTAAACTCTCCAATGTGCCGGCAGCTGTGGTGAGTACAACACTACAATTAAATGTGCTAAGTGATCTGCTGTGTTTTTATGGGTGAATCTGTTTGTTTTGCTTTTGTGAAATTGTTTTAAGCCATATTTCATGTCAAATTAACTGTTCTGACATCCACGTCTGTCTGGAAAAGAAGTGTTGAAGCGCAGATTTTAGATCGTCTCTTGCCCAGAAGCGTGTCTGGAACCAGACAGATGGGACGGCATACGGTCGGTTGACGCGGATTATTAATAAATTCATTCCCTTTGTTAAACCACGTTACGGAAAGAAAAAAAACGCAGAAACCAAGCCACTTTCCTCCCAACTGAGGACCATGCTGCCTGCAGACTTCAAGGAAATAAACTTTGAACCCAACTAAGACAGGTTTGCAACGCTGATGAGAACCAGCAAAACTTTGAAAAGACCAGCAAGAACAATGTTCAGCAAGCATAACTGCATGTATAACAACCCATTTCCTTTAATTTAACCATTTTTTTGGCAGTAATGAAGGCAGAAACACATCAAATTATTCCTAAGTTAAAGGTCGGAATAGAGTAAGAGGACCTGCGTCACTTCAAGCAAAGGCTACGCATATAGTGGTTGTAAGAGAAGTTAGGGATCAGCAGTGAAAAATTCTCTGTCTCATTTGGCTCAGACACGGAGAAAAATGTTACTGTTACAGTTAATTGTCTGTAAAACAAATCATTTTCTTACCAGATAAGATATATACCTCCGACAACCAGTGAAATACTCCATAAAATCCAACATTTGTTTTGTTGGACAGTCTTTATCATCTTCTTTCAGAAACTATATTTTGAGCTGATCAGGAAAACAAAAAAATATTGTTTTTGTCTCAGAAACAGCAGGTACAATTTTAGTTGTCAGGAATGTTATTGCTTTCTAGAAACATCGATGGTATCCTTCACTTCCAGTAAATCCCAGTTCAATCCCAGGTGGACTGGGGAGAATATTTTTAGCAGAGTGAAAGAACAAAAGAAAAAAGACAAGATGTCCAAGCGTGATCAGTGTAAAGATTTTGCCCCCAGCAGTTACATTCAGGGTTTGTAGCAGACATCAGGGTGTCCAACGTGTGCCGTAGGGACCTTTTGCTGTCCCAGGATTAAATTTGTAAACAGAAGATAAAGAAGTCAAATTTTCCCCTTCTTAATTCCTAATTAAGTAAAAGTTATTATTGACATATTAAAACTATCCTACAATGGAAAACATTTGGTGAAAGTATTCACTTTTAATAACAACCACTCTCTTTAATTTGATAATTGACAAGAACACATCTGTCCAGTAACGTTTATATATGTTTGAGATTTTAGGTTTTAGAAATGGGTATTTTTGGCCATCAGAGTACTTCTGACACCACTGGCCTCCACAGTCTAATTCCTGTTTATTTCTTTATCATGTCTTTAGTCCGCCATTTTTAAGTAAAGAGGCTGCTAGGGACCCCCACACCACCAGGGGGCCCCCAAGAGCACAACGCTAGCATGATAATGTATGTACATTGAAAATAACATTGAATTATACAAACTAAATACTATTACACATGGAAAACGATTTCTATATTATTTTTACCATTGTTACAGAAATGATAGATTAATCTCTTCCTGCTGTTGCCATGATTGGGAAAATATAAGATATGAAACTTGTTTAGTGTGTTATTTTCAAAGAGTTAAAATGATATGGCACACTTAAATACCACTCTGGATTTCAAAATCTCACTATTTCGTTTTAGTTCGTTACTCCTGTAAGGTTAAAATCAATAGCCATAATAACACCGGCACGGCGTAAACTAGTTACAAATGATGCTAATGCTAGTAGGTATGTTACACAGAGTAGCTGAGGAAGAATATAATCATGTGGTGTTGACCAGCTTCAAATAAAAACCTGTTTAGGGCCCCAGAAAGGCTTTGGCCGGCCCGGTCCTCAGTCTTGTTTGTAGCACTGCTTGTTAGCTTGTTTGTGTTTTTAAAACATGACTTGCTGATTGGCTGCTAGGCCATCAGTCTGGCCAGACGCTTTTTCTCAATGACTTAAGCTTCTGTAACCGGTTAAAGAAAGAGCAGGCAGCAGGATAATAATGCTGCTGACGCCACGGGGTAAACAAGCAGGCTGAATTAGAGAGCCTGGCTGTTTAAAGGTTGGTAATCGTCGCTGGAGGACAGCTGCATGTTGGAAAGTGAAGAAATGTAACAATATTTCTGTCCTCCTGCCTGTTGCTTAGCTACCAGCTAAACCGAGTCTACGGGACTCTAGCTCCGTGTCGTCGTTCTCTTTCATTATCCGTGTTTTCTGTTCCTCTATCGAACATTACCGTGTCATTTCTCATTCAGTTATTCTCTCCGTGAAGCATACGTGTGTGTTAGGGGTTTTTTTGTCTGTGAGAGCTGGTGTTGTAATCTCCTTACCAGGACTTGCCCTGTGTCTTTGGCAAACATCCCAAACACGAGATTAATGAATGCGAATACCAGCCTGACCCACAGGGGGGGAGGAGGTTATAAATTGGATTATCTGTGTATATGTGTGTGAGTACCTGCCAAGTAATATTAGATTTGTAATAAATCTGGCTGTCATTCAAAACTGAGAGTAGATCTTAAAGTGTTGCTTTTTATTTTACGCTGAGGTCGCCGTCTCTTCGTTCGCCGCCGTCGTGTTTACGTACGTTCATAAAACGCTGAAATTTGTTTAAAAAACTGAAACAATCAGAGAAACATTTCTCAAAATTGAAGAAACGTTTCATTAATATGGTTCAAAGTTTTCTGGCACTTTGATGAGATGCCAGAAAAAGTGCCGGTTCAACAGGAGTGCTCAACTATAAAGGGTATTGAGAAAAGCAATGGGAGCCCCTCCATGTCCACAGGTTGCTGCACACTGCCAGTCAGGCGGCTTAAAGAAGGCTACAACACTCTCCCTTTACTTTGAAAACAGAAAAATTCTGCAGTTTGGAAGTATCTTGTATAGCAAAAAAAAAAAATCAGTCTTTTTCTGGAAACTGAAGGAGCTTTAACCATCACTCTTGTTAAATTAGCAACATTTAAATTAGCGCCATTTTTAAAACTATCAGTTAAACAGCCAGTGGGAGGCTGTGGTTCACTGGACTCAAAGCTTTAGAAATGTCCCTCGTAACCCTGGTTGATGACTCAAATTATTTCATTTCACATCTGCTCATGAATTGTTTTGGTTCTTGACATCTTTTGACCTACTTCATGTTATGAGGTTTTGAAATATTTTAGACATTTCAGACCTGGGTTTGGCCAGAATAAATCATAGTGAATTTATGATTTAACACGGACTGAAATTACTTTTGAACACAATACTGGCTGTATATTCTGGGGGATGTTTTACATTTACTCCAGTTATCTTTGTCTCATTCAAATGTTGTTCAAAAAACAACTACTAATTGTAATAAAGTTTTTTATTTTTCCATTTTTGGCCAAGGCTACCAGCAAAAAGAACAAAAATGACAGAAAATAGATACAAATATAGTTATACATTTGACTTTTATTTTTTGTGTAAATACTGAACCATTGTATTTTTTCAAACTATTATACCATGACAATTTTATATCAGCCTACATCTAACTAGTTGTGTCTATACGACTGTCCGCGGTGGCCACAACTTTTTAAATATATAACTTTTGTTTTGGAAATGACTTGTCTGACTAACCTAAGTTACAGCTTGTGTCATTTCGAAAAAGTAGAGTATCACTCAATGCACTCTAAAACCAGTGACGGCACCACTTCGTCTGTCTGATAACACTTAGGCTGAACCCTTTGCCTTTTAACATGGCTCGGTTCTACAAAACTATGAATATTAGAAGGAAATGTTATTCATTTACAATAAGTTTAAGCCAAGACTGTTGTAGAAAGAAATGATGGCTCTCTACTTGTCCAGTGTACATATTTTATAATACTTTGTTTATTTTCTAGAAGGAAGAAAGGAAGATATCCAAAGGAGTATCGTCTTTAAGTATTCCTTGCCGGTTTCTATGCGTAAAGCGGCCATGCTGGATTTGGAAACCAGAATGGTTGGCTTCTGGGGGCAATATAGTCAGTTTCTCACCTTATTTGCAGGCCTGAATGCCTAATGAGCTCTGTGTTTGTGTGTCATGAGAGGAACGTGTTAAATCAGGTTGGAGGTGAGAAGATTGTACTGCAGAATGTTCATATGGAAAAACCCAGATGGTTAACGAAGGAAGCTGCTGTTACAATTGAATTGCCTTTTTCTAGAGTTTGCATATTTCCATAAAAAAATTATTTCTGGAATATTAAGAATCCAGAAGTGACCAAGCAAAGCAACATTACATTCTTAATTATACACAAAGATATAACTTTGTTTTTAAATTGGGAAATTTACCTCACCATTTTTTTAGATTTTTCTTTTTTTGCTACATCTGTTTAAATACTTATTACTCTGAATTTTGTTATTAGATTGGTTGTTTACCATAACACCTAAAAGTACCACCTCTTGATGACGAACGCTGGAGTGACGTATGTTTAAAAGATTAATTTTACAGGGATATTGGTTTGACATCTATTTATTCTTTGTTGTATTAGACACCTTTTCTATATTTATTTGTTTAGTAACCATTAGTTTTCCTTTGTCATATTTCTTGATCATTAAAATTCTATTTAAGGCAACTCAAGTGATTTCATATTTGAATATTTTATATCTAAAAGTTGTACAAGTGAACAAATTCAAATAATTACTGTAATTTCTGTGGTTTGAGATTTCCATCTTTAAAAAAGCATCAACATTTTTATATTTTATTGGATTATTTTCTCCTTTAGCCACTCCTCCTTTCCAAGTATTTATATTTTTGTCACTTTATACTCATGCAGACATGTTTGTCACAAAGTGCTTTATCAGTTTTTGGTATTTCAAGTTTTATTTTTCTTGCTCATTTTAGGATCAAATTGTTTTGTTACATTTATTTTTGTTTTGTGTCGTTTCTGATCGTTTTGTAAGAGAAATGCCTCTCAGAGAGAAAAACACCAACTCAGCTTAGTAAAATAATATAATAAATGTGCTTTTATCCTTTTGTTTTGGGTGTGTATGAGTGTGGATGTGTGGGTTCATTCATATTTCTCCCTCCCTGGGTGTGTCGATGCATGAATCACGCTCATTCTGACTACAGTGTTGATGTTGGAGATGTTGTAGTAAAGAGTAAAGTATTTTTAAATACTGAAAATGACAAGATATGAACAATGATATAGATGTTTACAAAGACCAAACTTTTCTTTCTTTTTTTTTCTTCTTAAAAGTGAAATAAAATATGACTGGCAAATGTTAAAAGCATGTCTGGGTCTTTTCCTTTGGTGGAAATAACATCTGGAGTAATTCAGTCAACTTATGCCACAATTTTATCCTAACATAACTGTATTTTATATCAACATTAACCAGTTGACATTTTGATAAATTACAAATAGGTACTTACAAAGATGCTTAGATGTAATATTTAATGAAAAAATATTTACCAGAGGTGTTACATACAGAGCCAGATTAGTAATCCTAGGGGCCCCGGGCCCCTCTCACAACCAAACACCCACTCAAAAGGAAGTTAAAAAGTGTTTACACTCCTTACATTTTTCTGTAAATTGTGTTGTACACGCAATGTGCTGTACAAATACATTTGTTTTGGCTAAAGTTATTGACACCCAACAAACAAACAGGGGTTTCCAGACAGATTTAACACACACAAGTTTGTATTTCTACCCAAATTAAGACTTTTTATTGACTTACATTCATTTTAGTAACTGCATTCATGCCTCACAAGAGGGTCCGCCATATTAGAACCCTGGAAGGCTCATCACTCTTCAAAAGATTAGTAAATGGGATAGAAATGGGCCTAAGTTGAGCAGGTAAAAAATTAAAATACAACAATTAAGGCTCACCTTAATTGTTTGAAGCTAATGCTAGCTTCCAAACAAGCTAGCATGTCAAATCACACACCTGGTGGTCAAAAGCTGATGACTGCTAATTTCCATTATATGTACTGCCATCTCACTCACAAATCGCATAATGCAATTAATTAAATCATCCCAAACCTCGCGATTATGACAATAAAAATCATCCAATTTGATGAAATAAGATAACCAGAACACAAAAACCCAGTTACTGATTTAAAACTAACTCTAAGCTTCCCAACATAATGATTCAATATTCAAAGCAGCATATCAAATAAACAAAATTATCTGGTCACACAATCACAACAGCTAATATTAATTTACACAAAGCACAAT